TATCCCCTTCTCCCACTAGTTCCTCTTTCCCTAACAGCCCCCATAGCCACTCCCCCTTTCCTGCTTCCTTCTCTCTTTCCAACCTATCAGCCTACTTTTATCAGCCCCCCTGCCTTCAGCTTTCCCTCCAACTAGCAGCCTCTCCTTGAATAGTCTCACATGGGGGCCATCATCCACTATGCCTGTTCTATCCCCAGCAGGTCTTCCTCCATCAGGCACAAAATAGGACAGGGGAAGGAGACCTTTCTCAGAGCCGTTTTGGCCTCCAAGTTCACCTTTGCTCCTTACCCACATCTTTGCTTTATAGAAACTATAAGGTTGGAAGTCTGGGCAATATTGCCAAGCAACCCCCCAAATGGCCCTGAGAACTCAAAATGTAGTCTCAGTGGGCTTTATTTTTCTAATGTTACAGTGTTTCTATTATTCTGGGGAGTGTTAATCCTTCCTTCCTATTTCTGCAAGCCTGGGGGTTTCATTCAGGCTTGTGGAGAAATCTCCCCTGTCTGTTTCTGGCTCCATTTTATGGATTATTTCATCCACATTCTATGGCCCAGTCAGAATTTGGCAAGTCTTCACAGAACTAGATCTGGTTTTAAAGGCTGGCATCTTGGGAAAATCCTGAACATTATCTTTAAAGTTCGTTGTTCTGTGATGGCTGGAATGACTTCTGGTAGTAATTAAGGCACAGTTGCTAAGGAGGGACCACCTTTCCCCATACGTGCCCCAGAGAGCACTGAGGTCAGGGTTGCAACAAACCCAAAAGATGCCAGGTTGACCATTACTAGAGGCAGGGCCTTTTCAGTGGCGGCTCCATACTGGTGGAACGAGCTCCCAGAGAACATCAGGGCCCTGTGGGACCTTTTACAGTTCCACAGGGCCTGCAAAACAGAGCTCTTCCACCAGGCTTTCAATTAGGAGCCGCCACTGATAAATGAGCCACCGGAATACATCATGGCCCTATGATATACTGTTGGATACCGCCTTTCATTTAAGGGATTGTTTAATGAATGCCGCCATCTACTGTATTCTCTATGTTAGTATTTTATGTAGTTTATATGAATTTTATTTTATTTATGCTTTTATTGTGTTTTAATATCTGCAAGCTGCCTTGAACCAGCTTGTCCAGCAAGGCGGGATACAAGTTGAAATAATACATAAATAAATAAATGAAGATTTAGTAAAGAATTGACACAATGGGGCTGAATTTCAGCAAAACAGGCATAGGACTGTACTGCACAGTGGCTTTCATTGGCAGTCCCAGTGAAAGTCCCAAGAGTCACGTAATGCACCCAATCACCAACTAAACCCTAAAGGAGGACACTGAACAGAACCATTGGCAGGGTTCATTTCCTGCAGGAGCGCACAGGAGTGGAGCTCCGGCAGTAAAGAGCCCAGGGGGCGGGCACATGCAACAAGCCCCACCCCCTGCTCCCAGAAGCCCTCAGCCAGAGCAAGAAGCAGCAAGGTAAAAGCAGCCAGGTAAGCTGCAGAGCTCCCCCCCGCCCCCCCGCCCAAAACAGTCCAGTGGCACGTTTAAGACCAAGTTCTATTCAGGTACAAGCTCTCCCTCCTCTGCGAGGACAGATCTGCATGTCGTCCCCCCCCCCCCAATAGCCAGCAATCCAAAACAGTCCAGTGGAGCCTGAGCGGTGGGTGTTGCCTTCTGACACACTTCCGGTGATGTCAGGGGGTGTGGCACATGCAAATGAGTTATGGTAATGAGTTATGCTAATGAGCTCCTGCACCTCTTTTTCTATGAAATGACCCCTGACCTTTGGTATAATACTTAAACAGCCACATTTGTCAACATTTTTTTTTGGTAGTGTTGTGTTTGTGCGTAAGGGTAGAGCCTGGAGTACTCCTGGAATTACAACTGACCTCTAGGCGACAGAGATCAGTTCCCCTGGAGGAAATGGCAGCTTTGGAAGGTGTACTCTGTGTGGCATCTCAATCCCCTAAATCTCCAGACTCCACGCTCCCCTGGTACCTCCCCCAATAGGGATCCCAAGCCCCCCCGCCGCCAGATCGGGCCCCGGGGGGAACTCCACCCCAACGTGCGCGTCACCCGGAAGTGACGCGACCACGCCAGGTACTCTGGGGGCGGGGCCACAGCCATCCAAGGGAAAACTCTATGGTTTTCCCTTGTATGGCCCTGTCCCCACCCCCAGCGTGCCTGGCGTCCTCCCGTCACTTTCGGGTGACGTGTGTGCGGCGCCCGCGTGCTTTGCGTGTACGCACACGCACCAGATGCCAGCTGGGAGCCCCCTGCTCCCGGCGAAGATCAACTTGGCAACCCTATCCTCCAAATCTCCAGGAATTTCCTACACTGAAGTTGGCAGTCCAAGTTGCACTGACTTGCCTCACAAAGTTCTCAGTTTTTTTATAGGGTCTCCTCCTTTAACATCAGCCTGCTAATGTAGGTGAAACTTCTCCCATCACATCAGCTTGGCAGTCCGTCATTACAAAGATGTGTGCCAGAGCTGGCTGCAAGAGAGCTGCTAGTGTGCTGTAAGAAATTAAAGTGACAGCTGCAGTCTTCTGTACATCTTATCCCTGATCCATACAGTAGGGGTTCTGCTGATTAGAGGATCAAGGGCGTGAAGGCTCCTGTGCACCAAAACACCTCTTTCCACAGAAGAGGCTGCCCACTGCCTCTCAATCTGAGTCACAGTGACTCTTTTCGAGCCTCAGCCAAACGATGATTTTGTTGCATCTCTGAATCCACTAGATTGTTAAAACTCTTCTAAGGTCTCGGTCACATGGGCCGGAAAATGCGGGGGGGTGGGAGCGTGGCTGCTTGCCCCGGAGCAAAGTAACGCACGGTAGCCCGATCACATGTCCCGTCGAGGTCCCGTGGTTAGGCCGTTAGGTGCCGATTACACGGCTATCCTGCAGCATGGCAAAGAAGCGGCACGGCACAATCACACTGGCAATCGCTAGGCGCTGCTTCTGTGGCAAATGGGAATTTTTTTCACACCGAAGTTTGTGCATGCGTATGACCATTTGTGCGCATCCTGTGGAGACTTACAAAAAAATAATAATCCAGTGTGCAACGGTGTGCCCCCCTGAGAGCAGAAAGATTCACACCAGTGGTGGACCGCAAGCCCTCCCTTCCTCACAAGGCCAGACTGATAACGCCGCCTAGCCGAGCCAGCTCCCACGGTCTCCGAGACAATGTTTACTGCAAGCTGCTGAGCTGCGAGCAAGTGGGAACGGGGAAGGACAGAAGCAACATAAAATGGCAGCTAGCTGACATCCTGCCCCCTCAAAAATACATCAACCCCCTCCCACAGCCGACAGGTGACCGCCCGGTTTCCCTGGGAACTGAGTGTGAAATCTGCGCCGGAGTTTGGGGGCCCGCACATCTTTCCCCGCCACCCACTCCCGATGTTCAGGACCCTAATGCACCCATTCCACCAGGTAGAACAATGGTCCACGTTTCATTTTAGAGTCCAAAATAATTGCAGATATTTCATGATGTTCCTCCCCCTCCAACAGAATAGGGGGTGCCCGAGTCGGCTCCTGGCGCCAGGGATTAGACGCTGGGCAAGGCTTCAGTAGGCTGAAATGGAAAATTGGATGGATATTTTGTAAGTTCTTAGGAAAGTCCAATTCAACTGTCACCTCATTAATCAACCTTACAACTTTAAACGGCCCAATGTATTTCCACGCTAACTTCCGGCAAGACTGCGACAGACGTGGATTCTTAGTAGACATATACACAGAGCCCCCAGGCTGCAGAACCCAACCCTCCACCCTCTTCTTGTCAGCCTGATGTTTGTAAGTGGCTTTAGCCATGTCTAAAGCTTCACAGATCTTGGGCCACGCCTCTCTTAAAGCAGAGCTCCACTCCGACGCCTCCCCCCCCTTTCCCCGGAGTGGAAGTCAGAAAGGGGATCAGGGGGCTGTCATAACCAAAAGCAGCTTTGAATTGTGACGTTCCTGTAGAGGTGTGGTAGGAATTGTTAAAACAAAATTCAGCAAGAGTCAGTAGGCCCGTCCAATCATCCTGTTGGAAGTTTGTGAAACACCTCAAATATTGTTCAAGGGTTTGATTAACCTGTTCGGACTGGCTGTCAGTCTCTGGATGATAAGCACTGCTCAGGCCCCGTTCAATGCCCATAAGTTCCAGGAGCTCACCCTAAAACTTCAAGATGAATTGGGGGCCCGTGTCCATTATTATTTTGGTAGGTAGTGTGTGGAGCCTGACCACGTGGTTGAGGAAAGCTTTGGCCAAAGTCCGAGCCATTGGCACACTGGGAAAAGGAATGAAATGGGCCTGCTTGGAGAATAAATCCACGACCACCCAAATTACCGTCATGGCCTTGCTGGGAGGTAAATCGGTGATGAAATCCATGGAAATAACCTCCCATGGTCTATTTGGCGTTGGTAATGGTTTCAATAATCCAGGAGGCTTCCCCTTTCTGGGTTTACACATAATGCACATTTGGCAGGAGTGTACATACAAAGATAAATTCTTGCGCATGTGGGGCCACCAGAAGGTGTGCTGTAGGAGGTGTAGTGATTTCACAAAACCTGTGTGGCCAGCCGGCTTAGATCCATGCACTAGCCCCATAATCTCCCCCGCAACAAGTTTGGAACAAACATTTAGTGTCCTTATACCAACAACCATCTGGGCCCAGTGCCAACTCCCCCGCCACCTCCACTTTCTGCTTGTCCAGCTCCGAAAAGGCGGCGGCGAATTTGGCCTCCCATCCCCCAGGAGGGGGGACAGAGAGGAGGAAAGTTTAGCCTGCCTCCGTGTCGTCACCGCCCCGCCCAGATGGAAAGGCGTAGACATAGACTCTAGGACCTCCTCACGTCGGCTTTCGTGCTGTGGGAGGCGGGACAATACATCCACCAGCGAGTTTGCTTTCCCTGGGAAATGGTGGAGAGTGAATAGAAACTTAGAGAAAAAATCAGCCCATCGGAGCTGCTTGGCATTTAAGTTACGGGGGGTGGCAAGTTGGGTCAGCACCGCCCGGGCCACTATCCCCGGAAGGTTATGGAGCAATTGTCCCATGTCACGCATAATAGTGTGACAGTCCAGTTCCAATACATCCAATCTCCTGTCCATGTCCAAACCTGGACTCACCGACGATCTCGGTGGGAAGGAGGTGGGTCGACTCGCGGTCATTCCAAAGCTCCTTGAGCTAGTCCACGGGTCAAAGATACTGCCCCGACTCCTACTCACTGGCAACGACCAGGTAGTTTGTGTGGAGTCGCCCAGATGCCAGCCCCAATCCTTCTCTTTATGGCGGTAGGTCACTCCTTTTCCCAAACGCACCGGGATAAATGAGACTGTCAATCCCGGGGTGGCCCCTCCATCCGTAGAGATTGTCATTCCTGGGCTCGCTGCCGTCACTGGTGCCCCCGCTCCCGCCATCGTTGTCGGGGTGGTGCTCGGTGTAGGTGCCGACGTGACCGGGGTAGGCACCATCGTTGTGACCGGGGTGGCCACTGACGTGGTTCTCGGGGTAGCGACCCCTGCCCCACCGGGACCATTCATCTTGTTCATGAGAGACTTGGCTCGATGGAGGAAAAAGGGATTCCTAACAATTTCTGTCAGGTTCCACAACAAGTAACTCTTTACACATGTTTCCTAAGAAGCGTATGCTTTATTAGAGTACAAAACCGGTACCATATCCACAGGATTATTGTTAGGAATAACTATAGGGCGGGAACATCCATACATATAGCCGGATGAGGCAAATAGCTAAGCAAATGAACTTCGAGCGCGCGTGCGTGGGAATTCTCCCAGCGGGAAGTTACATAATGAGCGGGAGACTCGCAGGGCCCCTGAGAGCAGAAAGATTCACACCAGTGGTGGACCGCAAGCCCTCCCTTCCTCACAAGGCCAGACTGATAACGTCGCCTAGCCGAGCCAGCTCCCACGGTCTCCGAGACAATGTTTACTGCAAGCCGCTGAGCTGCGAGCAAGTGGGAACGGGGAAGGACAGAAGCAACATAAAATGGCAGCTAGCTGACAATGGGCACTGGATGTCATGGGATTCAAGCAGAAACGCAATCAGACACCCACCCTTGCCCCACGTTTTCCAGAAACTAGTACATCGTATGCGGTAGTTTTTTACTCTGTATCTTTGGCAAGAAGCCACGGGTTAGCCACGAGTGTACTACGCTTCCCAGATGTTGCGGTGTGATCGTGCACCGAAAATCCGCCTATCATCTGTGTCTTTAGTGCGGCAACTTCTCCGTGTGAATAGGACCTAAGGCAGAGATGTAGCATAACAGAATTATCCGTCCTCCTAGGGGACCGGCTCAGAACCGTGGCTCATGTGGAAGGAGAAAGGGCTGGGCCTCTCTACAGGCCAGTAAGCTCCACTTTTACATCAGCAGTGGAACAGGGATCGTGTGAAAAAGAGTTTGTTTTTAATACCAAAAGGGATGCACAAATGGGGAATGAGGAACCTTCCCAGTTCCTACGACATACCTCCTTGTGATTCTACCTCCCCCCCCTTTTATTTTAACGTGAGCTCTGCCTAAGG